CAGAATTCAGATGAACTTGGACATCAAAACAAACAAAAAATCAAAACTTAGGTAGTCAATCATGAAAAATCAACAAGTAGAGCACTAAAACAGAAAAAATTGAAAGATTGGGCACCGAAAAAGCCGTTTTCTCATCCATCTAGCAATACCAATCATCATCAACAAAAAAGAATTCAAAGCAATTGAACTCTTGAAAGGAGTTGCCTGATTCAGTAGATAAATTCCCAGATTTTAAGGATTATGTATGCAAATATTATCAACTTAAACCATGCTTGATGTATTTTCTCGTGGAATGTGTATTGGAAATGGACCTGGCATTCTTGAAAGGTCCGCTTGGGGCAAGAACTGGAGAAGTGAGGGAATGAAGGCTTTTTAATAACGATCGAGCACTGCATGACGAAATCGAAAAGGCCAGCCAGCTCTCGGAACTTATCAACCAGTTGTTCTGAGAAAGGCTCAAATTAGAAGCTAGCACTTCAAGGACCAAGGTTCACGGAGTCACCAAACGCGCGCCTGGTCAGAGGGCGCCCTCCAAACTGGAGGCGGCTTTCGCTATTTAAGTGTAATACTAGTCATTTGCCTGCACTATACCATGCATCCCATAGAAAAAAATCATATTAAAAATATAATTTTTAAATTAATTATTTAATATTTTTTTTATAGATTTTCTGTTTAGAAAAAACATAAATCATTATTCTTTATGAATTAATTTTAAAATGAAAAATATAATAATTTTAACTAAAATATTAATCAAGAATTAAAAAACTTTAAAAATATAATTGTTATAATATTATATTCCAAAAAATAAAGATATAATTGATGGACAGACTTTTATAAAAATTAACAAATGAAAAACAAAATCTTATTTAATGCTAATGAAAAGATTAATTTTTAAATAAGATTAATTTTTAAAATTATCCGTGCAACGCTATCGGCATATAGAACAAAATCATTTAAAATTTTTATAATTTTTTCTTTATTTTTATTTAATTATTATCATTTTTATGTTTTTCATAAAATTTATGCTTAAAAATACATGATTTATTATTCTTTATTCAAAGATTCTTAAATAAAAACTTGTAATAATTTAAACCTCGATATTAATTAAGAATTTAAAAGCAAATGCTTTAAAATTATATTTTTTTATAAGAATGTATCAAAAAATTAAAGTTACAATTAATATATAGACTTGCATAAAAATTAACCAATGAAAAAATAAAACTTTATTCTTATTTAATGTTGGTGAGAAGATTGTTTTTTTTAGGCATATGCATTTGATCTATATATATTTATTTACAAAATAATCAACAAAATTAGCATAAAAAACTATATTTGAATAATTAGTTGGTTACTTTAAAAAATTATTTTAATTATTTTATTTCAAATAAATTGGTTCTATAATGTTAAAAAAAATTCATAGTAAATAATTTGTATTATGTTGGAAGATGTATAGTTAATTTTTAATAAAATCAACAATTCAATAGTTTTTTTATATGTCTTGACCATACATAGTGAATTGAGATAAATTATTTAAAATACACTTTTAATCTTTTAGAATAAAATAATTATATATTTATATATGTGGATCTATCATTTAAAAATTCTAAGAATTCATGATATATATATTTTACCAATTTATTTTTTAAAATATAAAAAACAATCATGTTTTAAAATTTTATTCTAAAATTCAAATATAAAGAAAAATAAATTATATTTATCAATAAATAAAATCTTATATAAAAAATATTGATCCGATGAGAATTTTCATAAAAAATGATAAATTCAAAGAATAAAATATAAATGATAAGAGTAATATAAGATGAGATATATGTTAATTTTAAAATAAAAAAGATATATATATATATATATATATATATAAACACATACACACACATATATATGCTGCATGAAAATCAAAGAAAAATGAAAACTAAGGATTGAAAAAAAATGTTACAACATGAGGGATCGAAAAATAGAAAAAAGTGTTAAATTTGTATATTAATGACCAAGGATACACAAAAAACAACACATAAAAATGACTTAAATTGGCATCAAGTAAATAGTAATTTTATGCATATTAACAATAAATGAATAGGAATTTTAGACCTATGAATAATTCGAATTCTAGCGCTATGTTGCTGTACCAAACTAAACATATTTATTTCAGTTGGATAACATATATTGTGTTATTGGTTAATTAAAACATAGTAAATTAAGTATAAAAGATAAAATTTGATCTAATTTCATAATTTTCAATCAAAATTTTGTGTGTGTGTGTTTTGAATAAATTTTGAGGTAAAAAAATATGATTTGTTCTTTCTTATGCATTTAGTCTTAAATAAAACTCATAATAAACAAATTTTAATATAAAATTAAAAAAAAACATCTTAATATTTTTTTTCATTACATTGCATCGAAAAAATAAAGCAACAATTAATATAAAAACTTATATGAAAATTAACAAATGAAACCTTTTTACTGATGAGAAGATTATTTTTTAAAAAATATATATGCATTTGATTTATATATATTTATTTATAAAAAAAGAATAATATTAGTATACAAAATTGTATTTGAATTATTAGGCAGTTATTCTAAAATATTATTTCTATTATTTTTGTTGAAAAAATCATTTTAAATATTAAAAAAATAATAGCAAATAGTTGGTATTGTGTGTGTAGATGCATAGTTGATTTGTAATAAAATCAATGGCTCTAATGTTATTATTTTTTATACGTTATGACCGTATTCAATAAGTGAGAATGTATAAAATAAATTAAAAAAATTAAATGGTAAAATATATATTGAAGGTAATAGAGTGCAGTAAAAACTATAAAAATGATTTTAATAAAATTTGATTATGTAAAAAGTAAATAAAATACATGTATTCAATTTTTAAAATTTGATTATATAACAATTAAGCAAATAAAAAAAGGTATAAAAAAACTTATTCAAATTCATACATAGAGAAAATAAGTCATATCTATTAATACATTAAATTATAAAAAAATAAGAATAAAAATTAACTTGATGAGAATTTTTATTGAGAAAATCAATTTTAAACAATAAGAGTAGTTTAGATTTATTCTAAAATTTGAAAACATATCATATAAATGTAAAAAAAAAATTGTATATATTATATAATCGTCAATTTACGTGAAAAAAAGTAATGATTGATTTTTTAAAATTATAACACCTAATTAAATTAAAAAAAGAACATAAATTGATGGGGAAAAAAGCAAAGGAAAAAAAAAGGCACGAGTAGTGTATCAGTTAAGGGATTAAGTTTTTTTTTTTTAGAATTTTAGAGATCAAAATGAAACTATCTAAAAATTAAATAAAAAAAGAACATAAATTAATGGAAAAAAGAAAAAGAAAAGTAAAGACATGCATAATGAAACAGACTTGAAACAAAACATACACATATATATATATATATATATTGTTAGTTTGTGTGGAAAAAAGTAACTATTGAATTTTTAAGAATTTAACACCTAATTAAATAAATAAAAAGAACATAAATTGATGGAAAAAAGTAAAAGAAAAAAAGAAAAGAAAATGCACGAGTAGTGCATTAGTTAGGGGATTAAAATTTTTATTTTAAAATTTTAGAGACCAAAATGAAACAATAAATAAATAAAGAACCTAAATGAATGGGAAAAAAGGGGGGTAAGAAAAAGAAAAGGCATGTATTCAAAACAACTTGAAAAAAGAAAAAGAAAAAAAAGTGAACAAGTGATGAAACAAAAAGAAAAAGAAAAAGAGAGGTTAACATGGTCTTATATATTATATAATTGTCAATTTGTGTGGAAAAAAATAACAATTGATTATTTAAAAATTTAACACGTAATTAAAAAAGCGTAAATTGATGAAAAAAATCAAAAGAAAAGAAAAGGCATGAGTTGTGTATTAGTTAGGGGATTAAAATTTTTATTTTAAAATTTTAGACACCAAAATGAAACTATCTAAAAATTAAAAAAAAAAGTATCTAAATTGATAGGAAAAAAACAAAGGGGAAAAAAAGGATAAGACATGCATTCAAAACAAATTGAAAAAAAAAGAAAAAAAAAGGTTGAACAAGTAGTATGTATACAAAACAAAATGAATTAAAGAAAGAGAAAAGGTGGAAAAAAAGATGTACAGGAAAAAAATTCAAAACATAAATCGAAGCAAAAAGCGATGAATAGATTGTAGGGAGTTAGAACCCCACGTTTGAGTCCATTGCGTGGATGACGTTATTCTAACCGTTAGGCTACAAACGTTTTTTCGGTCATGGATTGCAAAAAATATATATATATAGAAGTGATGAATAGGATTGTGAATAATCAAAACCCAACGTCTTTTAGAGTGTCTAAATAACAAAAATAATGAATAGGGTTGTGAATAGTCGAAACACCACGTCTTTTAGAGTCTCGATAACAAAAATGATAAATGAGGTTATGAATAGTCGAACCCTACGTCTTTTAGAGTCTTGGTAACAAAAATGATGAATGAGGTTGTAAATAATCGAGTCATACGTCTTTTAGAGTCTTGGTAACAAAAATGATGAATGAGGTTGTAAATAATCGAGCCATACGTCTTTTAAAGTCTTAGTAACAAAAATGGTGAAAGAGATTGTAAATAATCGTAACCCCATGTCTTTTTGAGTCTTAGAAACAAAAATGGTGAATAAGGTTGTGAATAGTCAGGACCTCATGTCTTTTAGAGTCTTAAGAACAAAAATGATGAATATTAGTCTTAAGAACAAAAATAATGAATAGGATTGTGAATATTCATAATCTTATATTTTTTAAAGTCTTAATAACGAGGAGAGAGAATAAGGTGGCCAACAAACAAAGGATGGAGAAAACAATGAGATGGTATGGATCACTTAAATTATTATTATCCCTCACAAATTTAGCTTCATTTGAATTCGTTTTGTCATTTTTACTAATTTTAGATTTTTCCCATCAATTTTTTATCAATCCAAAGGAAGTAACAAATTTTTTTCTGTCCAAAACATGGGAGTTGGTACTACGATGACCGATCTAATGCTGTTTCGATGGCAGGCTGATGGCAATAATGTTTGGAGAAGTATTTCATGACAAGATAAAATATGTGAAGAAATGTATATTTTTATTCCTCAATACAAAGTTAGGCAAATTAAATTTACCTCAACGATGGCATGTGTTGATATAAATGTGCTGGAAAATATTTCATCGATTTAATTCAAAGTCACTTAAGTTTATTGTGTGTATATGTACTTGCAAAAGTGAATATCCCCACAAAAGTGAGATTTCTAAGTATCTTATGAGTGTTGTCGATCTTAATATCACAACCCAAAACTAAAAGATATTCCATTGCTACTTTTTAAAAAAGAAAAAGAAAAAAGTAGGGGTACTTATGAATCTTATTTTTCCAAAAAAAAAATGATTTTTCGTTAAAACGCTTTTGTTGCATGAATCTTTAGATTGAAAAGTGAGGGAAAACAATGCAATAAAAGTGTAGAAATACAAAGCAAGAGAGAAATTCAACAAAAAAAAAGAAGAGAATTCTGATATTTCTAAGCGTTTGATTAGTTTTTTTAGCTAACTTTTTAATTTTAATTACTTTTGCTCCATATGTTAAAAAAAAATTAACATAAATATGCAGTAAGTAGTTTTACTTAGTGCATATCTAATTAAAAGGTAACTTACTCTTTATACTATATTGGAAATAATAGGGTTAGAAATTTTATCAATCCCCATCTACTATATATGCTGACTTTTATTTTCACAAGCTGTGTTAAATGTGTGGCCTCAAGGCACAAGTTTATCATAAACCCTAGCTAGATTGAATGAAAAATGATGGGGGATGATTACAAGAGGCGAGGGGAAAACTGTCAATTTTCAATTTCATATTTATTTGGAGAGGATGTGGAGGCAGCTTCGAAAACTTAAAAGGGAAGTTTTCAACTTCGAACATGTTTAATTTAGTTATAAATATAATATAATGTGTTATCCCAATCTACCTGTACGTTAACTCCCTCCGGCTCCCAGGCTTTGTGTGGAGACGTTAGTATTAGAAACAACTGTATGTTATATTTCTCTATTTTTACACCCATCTCCTAATTCTTTCATTAAATAATTAGTATGAAGGTGAGAATTGAAGCTCAATTGGGTGTCAACAGGTGGAAGCTTAACTTTTGGAGGTGACGAAAATTTGATAATTTTTTGCTTACATTAACTGATTTTAATGAGTCCAATTCAGTACGTTCAAGGATATTTTAGACATATAAGAATTTAATTTCATCATGTACACATCACGTGCCATAGTTCTGCTATAGTTGTGTTAGTTTGGATGGATGAAATCCAAGGAAAATATATATTGGAAATCTATGAACTTTTTAAGAATACATTAGATTAGATCGATGCAATTAAATATTTAGAGATAAATTAGACATGATTCATAAGATATAAGGACGAATAAAATCATTCTCTTTGATCTGATATGAATAATGAATGAATATTAAAATCATCTTCTCTTTTAGTTTAATTGTTGATGTTAATAATATTTAATAACTATTATAATTATGGTGCAATTAGCTAAAGTTATGAAAAAAAACAATGCGATTTTTTTATTTTTACGATGCATGAAATGAATCCACTCAAAAGATTGTAAAATTTGGTAACTTAATTAATCATTTACTTTTTACAAACTAGATAATATTTATTTTATTTTTTCCACAATAATGCACCTTTTGAGTCCTGATTGAATTATAATATTAGTGGCTATTATAATTACGAGGTGATCGTTAGTTAAGTTATTTAGTGATAAAATAAATTATTATGGTACAATAAATAAAAATATTTAACAGTATGTAAATTAAAGACACTGTAATTATAATGTCTTTAAAGAACCTTAGAAATTGCCCTCCCATGATGGGACATTGAAATATATCATATACATATGACAATCAATCATTGATTTTGTTCTAAAAAGCTGACAAAATAAAGAAAAATAAAACACGAGGAGTTCACATGACAAGCCACTAAAGTGTCTATTATCAGATGTTTATACATTAAAATATTAGAAAATGTTCAAGAAACAAACAATATTAAAAATTCCAAAATATTTAAGATTTTTTTATTTCTTAACATTTTTTTTATTTTTTAAAATTAAAGGCTTATAATTTTCATAGTTTAAAAATTCTTTTCTCTTAAACTTTTTAGAATTTAATTCATGAAAAAATTCGATATTTTTATATCTTCATATTTTTTAAATTTATTTTTAAAAATATTTTTTTTGTTCCTAGTAAATTTTTGAAACCTTTTTATTTCTTAAGAATTTCTAAATTTTAATTGGTATTCATTATACAATTTTATGCAATTTAATGCACTTTTTTTTTCGTCAAACTAATGGAATTTATAAAACTAAATTGATACAACCAAATTTTATTAACACGAGATAAATTTCACAAAGACCAATTTGCCGAATTAGTGTGGATAGTGGAGGTTTGTTCCGGTTGCTAGTTGGTGCCTTTACAGCTATCGCCCATTTCCTTTCTGTCCTCCTATTTTTCTTTCTGTCGCCGAGTAAATTATAAATTAGTAGCTCTAGGTTTTTTTTTTTTTTTTTTTTTTTGGGAAAACCAATTAATTAATTACTTTTTATTTTAAAAATTAAAATTTTAATTTTTTTAAAACTCAAAAATATTTAATTTAATATTATTTTATTATTTTTAGCGGTAAAATTTACTTCCAAATTATTAAGTTTTGATAATTTCATGTCTTTACTACTAATTTAGGAAAATATTATTTTTTTAGCAAATATGATTCTTATTCTTTATCTTTAATGGTAAAAAAGTTGACCATTTCTGACAATTTCAGACAATTATTATTATTTTGTTTTAATTGGATCCCAAACTATTATTTTTATGAAAAATGTGATTTTCATCCTTATTTTTTATGGTTAAATGGTCGATTGCTAGAGATCAACTCTTTGACCCTCAAAATTTCAGTTTTTTTTATAGTTAATTTGATCAAAATATGATTTACATAAGATTACATAGTAACTGTTCATTAAATTTCACAATTAATAACACTTATATATATTTTTTAAAAGTACATATAATCAAATAGAAAAAATAAATGTACATATATCTAATAAAAAATAAAAATACAAACACTCGATTAGAAAAAAATAAAATATTAATGCTCACATGGTGGATAAGTCAATGTACTCGACGTGTCAATTTAATAATTATCTCGGATTGAATTTAATAGAAAAAATTGATTATAAAAATGTAAAAATTTGCATAGACGACATATCGTTAATGCAAATTTTCAAATTTTTTCTATATTGTTAAATTCATACCGACATAACTTTTGAATTAATACATTAGCATGTTTACCTATTTCGTCATGTGAGCATGAATATTTAATTTTTTTAAAGCAAAGTGTTTGTACTTTTATTTTTTCTATTTGATTATTCATACCTTTAATTTTTTATGAATGTTATTAATTTTGAATTTTAGGAAATAACTAATAATTATATTTTAATAAGTTAACCAAAACTAAAAAAAAAAATCCTGAAATGTTAGTGATCGGCGCTTTAATCATTAAAGACAACAACTAAGGATCACATTTGTAAAAAAATAATAATAATAATTTAAGGTCTAATTAATATAAATTGATAATAAAAAACAGGAAATGCCAAAACATAATAGTCTAAGAGCAATATTTGCTATTAAACCTATTTTATTATAAAAATAATTTTTGTTATAAAAATATTTTCTCTTCTTATCAGTTTTTTTATAATATCTTTTCATATTTTAAAAAATAGAAAAGGAGCATAACATAGAAAAAACAGTTAGTTTTTGAAAAAAAAATTAATTCGTTTCTCAAAACTAAAAAAACTAAGTTATAATTTACTCTTCGGTTGCCTCGATTTTTTTACTTTCTCTCAACATACATGTGAACGCAATAATAATAATAATAATGATAAAGCTACAGGGGTTGACTCCGTCTGTTAAGGCGGTGACACGGAAACCATCTTCCTACGAAACCCCAGAAATTCCAATCTCATATCAAACGGATGGGATTGCACCGAAACAACCCCCTTCATATCAAGCCGTTCGTTTTGATTCACACCAGGAAAGAGGTAATGAATCCATTCCTGAAGAAAGAGTAAAGTATCAATTAGTCCCTCTAAGTTTATAAAAAGAATTAACTAGTTTTTATTGTTTCAAAAATTAATCATGTAGCCTTTTGACCAAAGTTAATTATATTTAATTTAATATTATTTTATTTCAAAAAATATTATTTTATCATTAATATACAGATAATATCTACTTATTTTTTTATTTTTTTCACAAATTATAAATGACATAAACAGGATAAAAAATTAAATAATTAGTTTTTGAAATATAAAGGATTAATTAACTCGAGTATCTAAACTAGAGGGACTAATTTATAATTTACTTCTCAAGTCTAAACTAGAGAGACTAATTTATAATTTACTTCCCAAGAAAAGGATGGCTCCGAACGTGGTGTCAAATTCGCGCGACGACGTGCTTTAAATAAAATCAAGTTCTCACTAAGCCTAAGCGCAAAATACCTCACGCTCCAATGTGATTGGCTGTTAAAACTAAGCCCAGGGTTTCACTATATCACAGTGAATTGTGTGCACGAAAAAATACGCGTGAGTTTTTTCTGACAGACACTTGATTACGTGGCTTCTTGCAACTGGATCGATCTCTACATTTTTTTCCCCTTAAATAAAAGATTTGGTTTCCCTGTATAATTGCTACCTCGATTTAATCCTATCCGTTATTTCTAAAATGGAAACACCACGACATTAAGGAAACTATTATGTTCACATTAATGTCCTTGTGTATAGGAGAGAATTATGACCATACCACTTTGTGATCTTAGGACAGATTTTTTTTTTTTGGCTGTAACTTTATGGTTAAACTAATATAGACGTCAAACGAAAGTAAATTTCTCTGTGGATGATGGTAAAGGCATTCTCGATATTAATACGATGATATATTTAGAAAATTTTAATTTTATTTTTTTATAAATATTAACTCTAGTGTTTAAACTTAAAAAATCGATAAAAAATAACATACATTTATAACAATCCGACCAACTAATATAGTTTGAGTTAATTTTAAGATAGACGAGCTCAACTATCCATTAGCTACTTCGATGAGAATAAAGAAAGTCAAGATCGTACTAATGTAATTAATATAAAATATGGATTTGCTTTATTTAAGTATGTTTTTAATTTTAATATTTAGAAATAAGTTATTCTCTAATATCTTACAAGATTCCTATATTTTAGGAATTGAGACAGAATCGGGACTTTTATATTATTTCATTCTATTAAAAAGCTTTGATATGTATGAATTTTCACAACTTTTGATTTTCAATAAAAATGAGGTATTTTCACCTTGAATTTTTACAACGTTTATCATTTGAACTTATCAAGAATCTTATCTATTTTTATGATGTTCACATAGACTTATCGTTCTTCTTTTACCTATTTTGGAGTATGACGTCTAACATCCTTCAATTTGAATTTGATTGGCCATTTTTGTAATTTACTCTTTTTGTTCATGAGTTCTCTAGTCATTGAACTATGTGAAATCACATCAGTTGGTATCAAAGTTAGCTTTTGAGGTGGAGTTAGATTTAGGTTCATTTCATTTGGTTACAATGTTTATGAAATTTTTTATTTTTTGACGTACGTTATGTTTTAATGTATTGATTAAAGGAAAAATATTTTATTTCATGCACTCGATGAGTAAATTACAAGTTTTCACTTATGGATGTTTGTCAAATAACAAAGAGAAAGTTGAAAGTTTAGGGAAAAAGAGTTCCATTTGTGCTTGCCACTTCCTAATCGGTGATTATAGATTGTAGACGAATGGTGAATTTTGGGACTTGTTATATAAGAACCATGTCCATTATATTCTGAAACCAGGGCATGAGAAGTTGAAAATACGAGTCCAGAGCAGGAAAAATTAGATTTTAAAAGGAATCCAATTAGTTAAACGGGTAGTCCCACATTTGTACTCTCAAGCCCCTGGCCTTGGTCCATGTCCAATAAAGATCCACAAAATGTCCACTTTATATCATGGCGTGACATCCCTCCAGTTTCCTTTGAAGGTCCTCATAGATTCTTTTACTTGTTCTGTGAAAACTTTTCATCATGACTCATGACTATGCTTTAGGGTTAAGAGGGCATAAATATATACTTTTAGTGCCAAAGTAGAGGATGTCAAATTAACAGTGTTACTGTAATAATAATAATAACAGTAGCAGTAATAATAAAGAGGATTACTAAATGGCAATTTATGAATCATGCTTTATTGACTTGTGATTTCTTTTTTTGTTTTTTTGTTTTAAGATGAATCTGAAGCTGCCACAATTATACTAGATTGCAGTAAGAAAAAAACATTTGTGAAAAGGTTTACATACTTGTGATTTTAATTTATCACCAACTATTTGATTTTAATTTATACAAAAATTAATTTTAAAATATTTTATTATTTGTAAATATATATGAAAAAAACTACTATTTTTGTTTTAACACATAATATATTGTTTTATCACATAATATAAGTGATGAAATAAAATTTGATATTACACAGTAATTCACAAATTACTATGTAAATATGTTTATCTCAATTTGTTTCTCAAATTTAAAAGATATTGAGACGGAGACTGCACGTTAGTCACATAAATCCTAGGGTGGGAGGGGGCCACGACCCTTTCCCCAAAGTCCATTATAGTCCCTATGCTTATATGGATATTTCAAACATACCTTTAAAATACTATAAACCAACCCTCTCAAACTTAAATAATTTTTTTTATAAAATATAATTTTGAAAGAGTGAAGGAGAGATTTTCAATAATAATAAATTTTTCCTCATGTGATCTTGCATTGGATTTACCTGTTTTCTCTTTTAATTGTATAGTGAGATCAATCGTATCCTAACAAAAAAATAACAAAAAAGAGATTTATTATAATTTTTTAGAAAAAAATAAGTGCTAATTTTATGAAATGTTTTTTCTTGCTAGTATCAATTAACCAATCAATTATAATATACATTGAACTAAAAAAAGATAGAATTTGTATATGTATTAAGACAACACACACAAATTCGTTTAAATATATTATTAACGGAAGTCGATTATCATAATTATGTAACTAAAAATAATGATTTTTTTTTTTTTTTTTTTTTTAGAAAAACACCGGCCGTGATGCGAATGGTTTGTTTAAAATATACTGTTAAAAATAACCCAAAAATGCTACATGTAATTAGGTAATGCATGTAACTACGCATACAAGTTTCTTAGTAGCAAGTTTTGTTATATTAAATTAGGTGCAAATTGATACAACTCCACAAGCAATCACTTATATGTTAAATTTTCTTGATTTTTTAACTCTGCAAGGAAAATACTGAAATCAACAATTTTTTTTTCTTTTGTTTTTTGATTTTCTGCATCACCAAGATCAGAAAATGCAAGTACACATGAGCTGTCCATGGGGTTCCAATTGTTTTCTAACTGTTGTAATTTTGTTTTACTGAAACTGTAAAATTTTATGCAAAATCTTTGTACTTGAAAGTTTCCTGTTCTAACAGTAACTTCCTTCCAAGCACAAACCGACCAACCCATCCTTCCTTGGCGCCTTGACGGCTTCAATTTTTGCAAGATTCAGACAAACCTTAGTGGACTCAAATCTGACCATGTCGTTAGTTGTCCTTAAAAAAAAAAAAAAAGTTAGTAATTTCAGCCGATAATAAAGGGTAGTGTTGGAAAGTCAATTTTGACTCCATTAAACGTTTCACATTTCTTAATCAACAATAGAATAAAAAATTACTTAGGCTAATTACTAAAGAAAAAGACCAAAAACCTAATTCAAGGGAGAGGGAAGAGAAACCAAGAAGATTTAAAAAAAAAAAAAAACATACGGAAGACACACACATTAGAGAAAGCCAAAAAAACATTAAACGAGAAAAGTTCCTTGCTTTGACAGCAGAGAAAGAGAGACACAGAGTGAGAAGAGAGGGGAGCTTATTCTCTTCTTCAAAATTTTTTGGCCTTGTTGAAGGGTTTAAGGTTCTTTTTTTCTCTGTTTTTTTTTTTTTTTTTTATAACTCAAATTCTTTGTATTGTTATTGGTTTTTTTCCCCCCATTGTATTAGCAATCATAAAAGGAAACAGAAGAGCAAGACTTTTTTTTTCCCCGGTTGTATCTATAGTAGTAGATCGAGGAGTCAACCCAAGTTTCTGATCTGATCGGTCTCAGTTAAAATGGTACTGCTATATCTTTTTTTTTCAATTTTTAGTTTTTTGTTTAATTTATGTTGCAATTCCAAGTTATTGTTTATTGTGTTTATTTTAATGGATTCTTTGATGAGTGGCTTTTTTTTCTTTGTTGGTGGACGGATCTATGCCTTAATTGAAGTTGAAAGAGGATATCTGTTTGATGATATCAGCATATTCTGCATTACCATTTTCCTTGATTTTTTTTTTTTTTTTTGATGATTTGATCTCATTGAGATATGTACACCTATGATGTTTTTTTTTCTATGTGCCCATTTTAGTTTAAGAAGTTGATACTAAGGGTTTTGGACTCTTAGGTTTGCTATGTTGAGCAAGGCTATTTATAGAAAATGAAATTGATTAATGTAGTTTCAGCGCTTATGGTTTTGATCCGAGCCGATTAGTATAGATGAGATGTACAGTTTGGTGCAATAATTGAGTTATTCTCGGATTGCTTTTGTGGATTATTGATGTTAGCTGGCTTAAGACTTGGTATCAAAATCGTTAATGAATTAGTCCTTTTTTTTTTTTTTTTTTTTTTTCTTCCTCTTCCCGTAATTATAGTAGCAGAACCATGCGATGCTCGATATAAATTTTGTTTTCATTAGATGGTACTAGAGCCTTGAATTGGAAATGGAGGTCTGCATTCCGTTGTTATGATTTGTATGCTTTATCTTTAACAGCTCAACTCAAGTCAACCTGATTTGAACTCGTGGGCTAGTAATTATAGCTGACTCTGCTCTGGCTTCCTTTACAATACTGAATGGTTAGTCATCCATGCATGATTACAGCTTTGTGAAGCACCATACGTTAATTAGTTTGCTTTATGCTGGAGCCTTGGAACTGAAGGCCCTTATTTGATGCATTTTCTTCAATGACCCTACTTAGTTCAACTCTATTAAGGCCCATTTCCTGCAAAATTGGCAGGCTATACAAATCATTTTAGATTAATATATATATATTTTTGATAATAATGTAACTTTATGAACACCTGATATTCTGACTTGGGGGCATGTAATTGGATTTAGTGGCCTCCATTTCAGTTTTCTTTTCGATTTGATAATAACTTCATGCAACCCTTAAGAAAAGAGGCTATGCAATGTACCCTCCAACATTTGCTTTAATTGGCTATCAGGGCTGTTCTTTCCATTATGGGATTGATAGTTTGAGTATTAACTGGAATGATCAAACAAATGTATTAATCAATGCTGAAAATGCTGCAATTTCAGCATATGGAATATTGTTGTAAATGATGCTGGGAGATTGTATATTCAGCACGAGTGACTTGAATGGTGAAGCAATGACACCTGAAATGTTCCTTTTATTCTCTATCTATTGTTTGGTGTATTTAGTTTACTTATGGAATTAGATGGAGAATTATTTCTAGCAAAGCATTAAGACTTTTGGCTTTGCAGGCCACAGCTGCCAGTCTGGTTGTTGGATCTCTTGTTTGGGTGGAAGATCCTGATGAAGCTTGGGTCGATGGCGAAGTTGTGGAGATAAACAAAGAAGACATTAAGGTCCTCTGTACGTCTGGACAGACGGTGAGTGCTTTTATTGAGATTTCACAATGCATACATTTGATGTGGGGCAAACATGAGTATCATGCTTTTATTGAGAAAAAAGTTAATATTTTCTTTTACTGAAGTTCTTATTTGTTTTTCTTTTCTTTTTCAGGGTTGTAATTGTGTTCCAAAAACCTTAATTTGTACTATTTATCAACTGCTAAAAAGATTACTTTTTATTTTCATTTCATTCTTTTGTCATCAAGCTATCTTACTGAAGTTCTTGTTTCATTGCATGAAATTTGATCAGAGGCTAACGTTTTTTTATTAGCTGTCTGAGAATTATAGCACTGAGAAAGGAGATGTACTGAATTTGTTTTTCTTCTTTTTTCTGTAATCTTGGAAAACTGCAGGTCGCTGTTAAGGCTTCCAATGTATACCCTAAAGATGCTGATGCCCCTTCATGTGGAGTGGATGACATGACAAAACTGGCTTATTTACATGAACCTGGAGTCCTACAGAATTTAAGATCAAGATATGATATGAATGAAATTTATGTGAGTATTCATGAGCAAAAAGTTAATATTTGCATTTTATGTGGGTCGGTTTTGGGTAGCTAAGTCGAACTGGTGAATGCTTTTATCAACACTTTCTGATCTATTGACACTGATGCTTTAAATGATGCCTCCAGACTTACGTTGGGAATATATTGATTGCTGTGAACCCTTTTATGAAGCTACCGCATCTTTACGATAGTCACATGATGGCCCAGTATAAGGGGGCGGGCTTTGGTGAGCTGAGTCCACATCCCTTTGCTGTTGCGGATAATTCATACAGGTAGTAGATTGCTGCTAGTAGTTGACAGCCGTTTGTGTATTTTTCACTTTTCTTGTTAGACCATGAAAAGGCCATTGCTGTTGATGCAGACTAATGATGAATGAAGGAATAAGCCAGGCGATTTTAGTTAGTGGCGAAAGTGGTGCTGGTAAAACAGAAAGCACAAAATTGCTTATGCGCTACCTTGCTTACATGGGAGGGAGAGCTGCTGCTGAGGGCAGGACTGTTGAGCAGCAAGTCCTGGAGGTGACATAGTCCCATAATTTCAGTTTTATTTGCAAATTTTAAGAAATTTGCTATTGGAACTGCCATTAAATAAACCATGACACACTTGCCTTTGTTGTATATCATCCATTTGGCAGTCTAATCCTGTTTTGGAAGCATTTGGTAATGCAAAGACTGTTAGAAACAATAATTCAAGGTGAGATGGCATATCATAAAACTTATTTGTATATGTTGTGAATACTTTGTATTGCTGTCTGCTCGCTTGGGCTCTGTTCTTATTTGAATGTTGTGATTGCTGTAGTCGTTTTGGTAAGTTTGTGGAGATTCAGTTTGATCAGGCGGGACGGATTTCAGGAGCTGCTATCAGGACTTATTTGCTAGAAAGGTCACGTGTTTGTCAGGTTTCTGATCCTGAGAGAAATTACCACTGCTTTTACATGCTTTGTGCTGCACCACCTGAGGTAATTTATCTAGATTGCTTCACAGATTCTTGCTTCTTGAAAAATTTAAGACATTGCATATAGATCCTTTTCCTGCTGTAAGAGTGTCTTCTTCTCCTTCCAGTTCATAGTCATTTTTGTTTTTGTATCGTGACAATAAATTTTCATGGAGTGCAAATATTGAATTCTTGTATTAGCTTAATTTATACTTGCTTTGGGTTCACCTGTTTGAAATTTTTTACTGTGTTGTCTCGTGAAATTGAACTGTTGTATATACAAGCCAAATTTCATTTGAAAACTGATGCCTCCAAAGCTATTGTTTAATCAGTATGCTAGCATTTGTCTCCTTCCTGCTTGATGGACTTTAATCATTGCCACAGTTCTAATGCTCATAAACATTCAGATGTTCATTTTCTTCCTTTCTAATGTTTAGTGTAAATTCTTTTACTTATCTATCTGTAGGAGGTTCAAAAGTACAAATTAGGAAATCCGAGAACATTCCATTATCTTAATCAATCAAATTGCTATGAATTGGATGGTGTTGATGATTCCAAGGAATACATTGCCACAAGAAGAGCAATGGATATTGTTGGAATAAGTACTGAAGAGCAGGTATATGGAGCTATTTCTCAAAAACGCAGTCATTCAAGGATAAAATTCTTGTGAAATGTTAATCTTCATCTTTTTGTTGTGCTTTTCAGGATGCTATATTTCGAGTTGTTGCTGCAGTCCTCCATCTTGGAAACGTTGAGTTTGCAAAAGGGAAGGAAATGGACTCATCAGTGCCTAAAGATGAAAAGTCTTTGTTCCATTTAAGAACAGTTGCTGAGCTTTTAATGTAAACAAGCAATTTCATTTATCACGTGTACTCTCTAAAAGTCATGCTATTCTAACAAAACATACACTTTATATGCTATCATAAGAGGTGCAGCTTCTGAAATCATTTTTTTCTTCAGGTGTGATGTGAAAGCATTGGAAGACTCTCTTTGCAAACGTGTAATTGTTACTCGTGATGAAACCATTACAAAGTGGCTGGATCCAGAATCTGCTGCAGTTAGTAGGGATGCATTGGCAAAAGTTGTGTACTCAAGGCTGTTTGATTGGTAAGTTTTATTCTCGCGCTCTTAGAAAGTTATTTCAGGATGTTCCTTGCAAACTGATCAAGGTCTACAGTGTTCAATTATGTTCACTTCTTAGAGCATCAGACTCTGCTGTTCAGCATCACTCATCTGATCTAAGTTTTTCCCTTATTTTTTTCTGCAGGCTTGTCGATAAGATTAATAGTTCAATTGGTCAAGACCCTAACTCAAAGTTCCTAATTGGCGTGCTGGATATTTATGGATTTGAGAGTTTCAAGACAAACAGGTGCTTGACCGGTATGCCTTTCTGTTTTTTAATTGATTAGTTCTTTAAGAGAACTAGTACATATTCTGCTTATGTGTCTCAAGTCAAGGTTGACATCATGTCTCGAGGCAATAGAATTTGTGGTATGTAGGAGTGGATGCCTGGGTGTAGAGTATGGTTAAGCTGTGTAGATTAGTTGAGAAAGAAACTAGAATTGTTAGACCTTCCATCTCTAATTTTCTGCTTTAGTAATCACACTGGTTCAAGAAACTCCACTGAGCTTCTTTCATCCATCATCATTGGAGTGGTGTGCTTGCCTGGTGGGCATCGAGATAGGAGCTCATTCTCAGTTAATGTCCTTGTCACTTTGGGATGGCCTTGAGTATATGATCGCACGTGTTGTTCTGGGTATGTTTTCAACATAGAATAGTCACTAGCTCTGCTTTCACTGGAGGCTGAGCAAAGAGGTCCATAATAATTGAATAATTCACCTTGCGATGACCTTTTTTGTATATGCTTGTTTGATTCTTCCATTTGATGCTTGGTATGATATGTTTTCTGCAGTTTTGAGCAATTTTGCATCAATTTGACAAATGAGAAACTTCAACAGCATTTCAATCAGGTACATTTAGGGAAGTTTTCTATTCCATATAGGAATGTCCTTGACATTTCTCATTCTATTGCATATTTTGTGATGCAAAACCTTCTCCTGTGCAGCATGTTTTCAAAATGGAGCAAGAAGAATATACCAAAGAAGAAATTGATTGGAGCTACATTGAGTTTGTTGATAATCAAGATATTCTGGATCTCATTGAAAAGGTTTGTTAAGCTCTGCGTGAGTTTTTAATGGCAAGGCTTAATCGGCTGCGACACACTTAATTTTTTAACCTCATATTAAATGATATTCGAGTCTGCTGTATGCAATGCGATTAATTTCTTTCATCAGTAAGTGGACTTCAAATGGATGACATAGCATCTGTGACGAATTTTGATGTGGTGATTATTGTTTACATTCATCTCACTATCTCCATATAGATTTTATTTTAGAGTAAAAGAAGGTTATATTAACTGACTGAAAAGAATTATGGAATCATGTTGGAGAATAAGTCATCCAATTGTCTCTGTACTGGTTCTTAAAGTTTCTAGCATTTCTATCCAACCAGATACACTACATATGTGGCACTACTTTTGGTGCCACACTGGTTCTTTTCTTGTTGTCTTTGAACTTATGTTAGTCTTACTCTTCTCTGTTAACAGTCACATGCTCACCATTTATTTTTGATTCTGATAAAACTAAAACGACATCATTCAAATTATTAATTTCATTCATGTTTTATCTTTTACGCCCAACCTTTTTGTTGACATTCACTGTTTCCAATGAATTTTCAGAAGCCTGGTGGTATAATTGCTCTCCTGGATGAAGCTTGGTAAGTATGCTAGCAAAGTTGCTGTATGCATTCTCTTCTAGTCTCATTAATACCAGTGACTTAAAAGTTCTGGCAAGCCCCACCTTTTTTTTTTTCCCTGAAATCGGTCTTGATTGTTTCCTATTGTAAGATAGCCGATGCTTGTCTTTTGTACTTTGTAGTATGTTTCCCAGATCAACTCATGAAACATTCGCCCAAAAGTTATATCAGACGTTTAAAAACCACAAACGGTTTGCCAAACCAAAATTAGCTCGGAGTGATTTCACAATCTGCCATTATGCCGGTGATGTAAGTGGGCTCTCCGTCTGATCGCTTACAGTATATACTGAATTTTGTAAAAAAAAAAAAAAAAAAAAAGAATATTTAAATTTTGAAACAGTGGCAATAACTTGAGTTAATTACCAGGTCACATATCAAACAGAATTATTCCTGGACAAGAACAAAGACTATGTTGTTGCCGAACATCAGGGACTCTTGGGTGCTTCCAAATGCTCCTTCGTATCGGGTTTGTTTCCACCTTTAGCAGAAGAAGCTTCCAAACAATCAAAGTTCTCTTCAATAGGTTCTCGGTTTAAGGTGTGATAGATTTGTATTTTTTTTCTTTATGATGTGCTTTGTCTGCCTTTTTGGCATTGAGTTCTGATTTCTACTTTTTACACAGCAACAACTGCAAGCATTACTTGAAACTCTCAGTGCAACTGAGCCGCATTACATTCGTTGTGTAAAGCCCAATAACCTTCTTAAGCCATCTATCTTTGAGAATAAGAATATTCTTCAACAACTGCGATGTGGGGTGAGATTATTACTGCCTATTACCCTTTGTCGTTGAATTTATATTGTTGTAATTAGAACTGCCTGAATGTTTACAATCCTATGCGGATTGTGTGTTTCATCTCAGGGAGTCATGGAGGCAATTAGAATTAGTTGTGCTGGATTTCCTACAAGAAAGACATTTGATGAATTTGTAGACCGATTTGGCCTTCTTGCACCTGAAGTTTTGGATGGGAGGTATATGATTGTTTCTCCTTTGTAAGATGTTCTTCCCGAGCATTGAATATCCTGACTCTTTTGTAATACAATTTTTGTTAGTTCTGATGAAGTCACTGCTTGCAAGAGGCTCCTTGAGAAGGTTGGACTTACGGGCTATCAGGTAATTAGTTGACAAGTGAGAAACCCTCTTCTTACAGTATTCTTCTTTAAAATGGTGTGCTCTTACTCAGATGATGTAGAGTTTAACACCGTCTTTTAATGGTCCCTCTAGTAATAAGAGCTTCTTTTGATGATCAGCTTCATCATTTCCTTTTGACTCCATCTCATCTTCTTTTGAAAATATGTACTCATATGTTTACCACCTGGCATCTCACGTGAGCCTGCAGCAATTGCCTGCGAGGGTATCAACCGGTCTCAAACAAACTTCTCAGAATGACCTCTAAAACAACTATTATCTATTATATTTCTTCTTAGAAGGTTTTTGAACTACCATGATAAATTCCATTTTCTTCTGCAGATTGGTAAAACCAAGGTATTTCTTAGGGCTGGTCAAATGGCAGAACTGGATAGTCGTAGGAGTGAGGTCTTAGGAAAATCAGCTAGCATTATTCAAAGGAAAGTTCGGTCATATTTGTCTCGCAGAAGTTTTATCATGCTGCGCCGGTCTGCGATACAGATTCAATCTGCTTGCAGAGGTAACATATGGTGTAAAAGCTGTATTGGTACATATATTCTTATGTCTAACTGTCTTGAATTTGTCTATACTCAATGCAGGGCAACTTGCTCGTCACGTCTATGAGAACATGCGTAGGGAGGCTGCTTCTCTGAGAATCCAAAGAGATCTACGCATGTATCTTGCTAGGAAAGCATACAAAGATTTGCGTTATTCTGCTATTTCAATCCAAACAGGCATGCGTGGGATGGCTTCTCGGGATGAGTTACGCTTCAGAAGACAGACTAGAGCAGCAATTATGATCCAGGTAAGATATAATTCTGATATTAATCATCAATTTTAAAAATTTCTCCAGCAATTTTTGGTAATAATATTCTGTTCATGTAGCAATGATTGGATTGCCTTTTTCTGCTTTATGTTGCTGAATGGAATTTGTTCATTTTGTTTCTGTAACCCAGAGTCAATGTCGCAAATACTTGGCCCGATTTCATTTTACGAAGTTAAAGAAAGCAGCAATCACGACACAATGTGCATGGAGAGGCAGAGTTGCTCGTACGGAACTGCGAAAGCTTAAGATGGTCAGTTTCCCTTTTTTTTTCCCTTGTTTTTCCATTGACCCTGAGACATTGGTTGGGCAACAACAGAGGATGGAAGCATTATTTTCTTGTCTTTTGGTCCTTCAGATCTTGTGCTATAAAAAGACCATCACATAGTTCTGTTCCTGTCAGTGTAGTGCGTCATACACTTCTAGGAAGGTTGCATGGCACTATTAGTTTAGTCTATATTTATTTATTTATTTTTTTTAGCTTAACCTATATTTTGCTAAAGTACTTACAGCACTTTACTGTGTTTGGAAATATAATTTAAAGAACTATATTTTTTTTTTCTGGTTCTTGGATTTCTTCAAGCTGTCTGGAGTGGAGACCTGCGTTATTGCATTTTCTAGTTTTGTATTTGGAAGTAGTTACATGCTGTTGTGTCCCCTTTTTTTATGTAATTTTAGAAGTTCTTTTACGAGTTTTTTGTTTTCAGGCTGCAAGAGAAACTGGAGCTCTTCAAGCTGCCAAGAATAAATTGGAAAAGCAAGTTGAAGAATTAACATGGAGACTTCAGCTAGAGAAACGCATGAGGGTATGTATGATAATGCACTAATGAACAATTAATGACGTGTTTTTTGATCTTTATCTGAAAGTGGGACCAAATTCCATTAATTTTGTAATTGTTTTCTCTCGTCATTTTTCTTTTAGTTATGTCCATATTTTCCAATTGCTGTTTATAGCATTCCAGAATTTGGGCAAAGTGCAGTCACTGAATCATACATAGAAATAAGTGTGCAGTAAATATTTTACAAACTTCCATTTTGTTTCTGTTTTCTGCTCCCTGTTTGCGTTTATAAGACCAAGCACAGGAGACACCGGCTGTTGAAAATATCGCTTCAGCCAAAAATAAAACTACAAAAATGCCCATGGACAAAGCTCCCTTATGCTAATGCTTTTTAATGCTGCCTATCACTTAAGCTCAAGCTATGTGCTTCTTGTATGATTATTCACCATGAATGCTTTTGTATATCTGATGCCGTTAACTGCTGAATATATAGCTTTGGCAAAACATAAAAACTAAATGAATCTTCATTCCTTTGTGCTTACTCCTATCAATGCTGATGCATATCCCTTCTGCAAAAGCTATGTGCTACTCTTATGATGATTCACCATGAATGCTCTTATAATTATCTCATCCTATAAATTTTTGGTTCACATGTAATCTGTAGGCTGACATGGAAGAAGCCAAAACGCAAGAAAATGCAAAATTACATTCTGCTTTGCAAGAAATGCAACTTCAGTTCAAAGAAACTAAAGAAATACTTGTAAAGGAACGTGAGGCTGCCAAAAAGGTGGCAGAAAAAGTTCCTGTTATACAGGAGGTTCCAGTAGTAGACCATGCGGCCCTGGAGAAGCTTACTACAGAAAATGAGAAACTCAAGGTAAGGAGGGTTGATAGTCTAGGATCTCAATTTTGCTTGATGATGCTGACATTTGTATCTCTGCATGATTGAAAGACATCTTGGAAGTTCTCTTCAAACTAGGGCGAATTACTTAGTGAACTTGTATTTGGTAATTAGATTACTTTTTTGTGATTAATTTCAGGCTCTGGTAACGTCGCTAGAAAAGAAAATTGATGACACGGAGAAAAAATTTGAAGAGACAAGCAGAATAAGTGAGGAAAGATCGAAGCAAGCTTTGGAGGCAGAAACAAAAATAGTCGAACTGAAGACTGCTATGCATAGGTTGTTCCCATGATTAATTTTCAGGAATTGCCAAGGATTTTATGGGCATTAACACAAAGTGGGAGTTGAAATGTTCTGTATTTATAGCAATCCCTTTGATACTCATACTCTCTTATTTTCTTTTTAACTTACTGTTAGGCTTGAAGAAAAGTTCTCTGACATTGAAATGGAGAACCAAGTTCTTCGGCAGCAAGCGCTATTACACACACCTGCAAAGAAGATGTCAGAGCGTCCTCCAATTCCAGCAACTCCGGTGACTTTTTCTGCAAACTTGTACTGATTTATGTGCTTTCTCTATTTGTGTTTTCTCTCATTTGTTTTTCTATTAATTGCAGAGTTTGGAAAATGGTCACCATCCAAATGATGAGAATAGAGCCAATGTAATGCTTTTCTTTTCTTTGACCATCTACTTTCTTAACTGTGCTTGTGTATTACTTAATGATTGTTGTCGAGTTACTTTTGCAGGAGCCACAAAGTGCAACACCTGTAAAGACGTTTGGCACGGAGGCAGACAGCAAGTTGAGGAGATCCTACATTGAACGTCAACATGTATGTGCTATCAAAGACTAGGATATACTTCATCTGTTGTGCTTTCTTGTTATGCAGAGTGTCGGCTATGTAATTCTAACATTTTGAGTCTTAATCTTGCTGTAGGAGAGTATTGATGCTCTGATTAACTGTGTAACAAATAACATTGGGTTCAGTCATGGAAAGCCAGTTGCTGCATTTACCATCTACAGATGTCTTCTCCACTGGAAATCTTTTGAAGCAGAAAGGACTAGTGTGTTTGATCGTCTCATTCAAATGATTGGTTCTGCAATTGAGGTAACTGGGTGCATTGTGATGATTGTTCCTTGAAAGGGCATTCCTAAAATGGAGGGAAATGATTAGCTAAACAAGGAATATCATATATGGATATACATAAGTTGAGCTGTTGAAGTTCTTACAACTGTTGTCCAGCAATCATAAAACAGTACAAGTACCATAACCCTATTCTTGATCGCAGAATGAAGAAAACAATGAACATATGGCTTATTGGTTGTCAAATACATCTACTTTATTGTTTTTACTGCAACGAAGTCTGAAGGCAGCTGGTGCTAGTGGTGCAACTCCACCTCGGAAACCTCCCTCAGCAACATCCTTGTTTGGGCGGATGACCATGGTATCAGAATTTTTTATTCCTTCTGTTTGTTCCTTTGAAAGGTGGATTGCTTTCTCTAAACTGGCTTGTGTGTTTATCCCAGGGTTTTCGCTCATCACCTTCTTCTTCCAACCTTGCTGCTGCTGCTGCTCTAGCTGTCGTGCGCCAAGTAGAGGCAAAATATCCAGCCTTGCTTTTCAAGCAACAGCTTGCCGCATATGTAGAGAAAATTTATGGAATTATTCGAGACAACTTGAAGAAGGAGTTGGCATCTTTGCTTTCCTTGTGCATTCAGGTATTTTGTTTCACTCACCAGTTTCCTTTCCAACTGCTCTGGAGCCAATTTTGGATTTGGTCTCTTCGTTGAGGCATTCATCCTTCACACTTTAATGCTATAATTTTTCAAGCAAAGTTGTTTTTCATGCTGAATTTAGGCACCCAGAACTTCTAAGGGAAATGTACTAAGATCTGGACGATCCTTTGGGAAGGATTCTCCTTCAAGTTATTGGCAGAGCATTATCGACAGTCTCAACACTCTCCTCAGTACTTTGAAGCAAAATTTTGTACGATCTGTATTGGTTTCTCTGTTAATTTTCTTTTAAAATGCAGATATTCTTACATTTATTGGGGTTTCAGGTACCTCCAGTTCTTATCCAGAAGATCTTCACTCAAACTTTCTCATATATCAACGTGCAATTGTTTAACAGGTAATTAGTCATTTTGCCCCTTTGATTTTATCAATTTCTTTCTTCTTTTTTTTTTTTTTGCTGAAAGGTTTCCTTACATGGGGATCCCTTGTGATATCCAGTCTTCTCCTCCGTCGCGAGTGTTGTACATTTAGCAATGGTGAATATGTAAAAGCTGGGTTAGCTGAGCTAGAGCTATGGTGCGTCCAGGCAAAAGAAGAGGTAAATTTGATTTGCCTTTAGTTGTCAGTTTCATTTTGCTATGTTCAGTGTCACCATGCATAACTTGTGATGATTATTTACTATTCTAGCATGTGGATTCCTCGTCTGTCATGTCGGTGCAAATTTCCTTGATGTTCATGCTTTCACCTTCTTTGATTGCAGTATGCAGGTCCATCTTGGGATGAACTTAAGCACATAAGACAGGCTGTTGGGTTTTTGGTATGTTCTAAGAATGCTTTATTCTGAGTCTTAAATAACAAATATTCTCTTGCTTTGTTTTTCACTAGATTTTTTTTTTAATTATTTTGGTTCATAGGTCATACATCAGAAGTACAGAATATCCTATGATGAAATCACTAATGATCTATGTCCTGTAAGTCTCTCTCTCTCTGCATGTGTGTATTTCTGCTCACATGGCTTAGTAAGAGTAGGTTTGAGAAAGTTGATTTGTGCAACAGGCCCTAATTTTTTATTCAGAGACTGTTTTTATTTCTCTGAATACCTTAGTTCCTCACCACCCTTCATTTTTATTGTTTTATTCTTTGTTGCTTCATGCAATTCTCTCACTTCAACGCTTTGTTTGTTCAGATCTTGAGTGTTCAGCAACTATATAGAATCTGTACACTTTACTGGGATGACAATTACAATACTCGGAGTGTGTCACCTGGTGTAAGTTTGTATATCCTAATTTTTCCCTTGATGATGTTTTTGGATATGCACATCTCATCAACCGGACTTGAATAACCAAACTTCACCCATGATCTCTCTTCAGGTCATTTCTAGCATGAGGGTACTTATGACAGAAGACTCCAACAATGCTGTTAGCAATTCCTTTTTGTTGGATGACAATTCCGGGTGAGAGTTTCTTGAATTTTCATAAATTTGCTAGTTCGTACTATGAAAAGTAGATTCAGAAGAGGCTTTATAAAAAAAATCCATTCTCTTTACATTTTTGGATATGCAGAATAGTAATCTGAAAATTTCTTGCGATTCTGTAAAAATAGGAAAGTGCATTTTCTGCGAAGATATTTATGATTTTTCTAAGTCTATATGATGAAGTAGGAAAAATGAATGAATGGTGCAAGACACTTTAGTGAAGTTGCGGATGCCTGTATTAGGGATTAGGGTTGTTGAATTTAGGGGTTTAGAAATTGAAAACAAATTTGAATTGTAAGAAATGAAAAGGAAGCCTCCCACTAGTAGATTTTAAGGAATCACTTCTTGGATAGAAATCTAAGCATCATTTTGGGGTTTAAGGAAAAATGCTGCCATGCTTTTCTATGAAATTGTGTTTTCACAACAATTATAACAAATGTAGCGATTTCTCTGCATTCGCACTTTAAATATGATCTAATTGATTATTCTTTATGCAGCATTCCCTTCTCTGTGGATGACCTTTCTAATTCTCTGCAAGAGAAAGATTTCTTGGATGTTCAGCCAGCAGAGGAGCTACTCGAGAACCCAGCCTTCCAGTTTTTACACGAGTGAAGCTAAGGAAAGCTCAAGTGTGCTCTTCTCATTTTTTGTCCCAAGTAGGCAAGTTATCGAGCTCTTTGGTCAGTAGTCCTACATTGTTGTAAATTTACCCCATCCCCCCTTTTTGGTGGTTTTCTCATTTTTTTCTACATCCCTGCCCCTTTGTAAAATATTTTTATTTTTTATTTTATTTATTTATTTGAGATTCGAAGTTGTAAAATCCCTTTTTGCTTGTGAGGGGCAAGGATACATCTTGTTTGGTTTAGTGTGCATTCATTGGTCGTTTTATGTTTTGTTTTGGCCTTTGCTGTGCCGTAATAGGCAGCAAATTTCATAGGGAATTTAGAAGGGCAAGCAGTGCCGGTTATTTCTGGTGGTTGAGGCGTTGCTCTGTCTTCACCCATTTTTTGGTTGTAAAAAGAAACTTGATATAAACATTATACATAGTAATGAAAAGTATATGGGATTGATTAATGTACTTTCTTTTCTATACATTTATATGCTTTCTTATTTAATAAATTTATCCATCATTTTAACCTCTGCATCCATCCCTCGTTGCTAAAGATTGAGCAATGAATTATTGCTCTGGCAGAAGATTGAATTATAAAGATTGAATTATACCCTTTGACGTATCATTCAGCGGCAGATTCTTGGTGGTAGGTAAGAAGTACGGCCGAACATTGGTGAGGTTTCGACTCACAACTCAAGGGCTAGCACAAGTGTTACGGAACAGAAGACTTGAAGAGATGTGGTGGATTTTAGTTCAAGTTTTGTTCTTTGTATAGTTTTATGTAAAGAATTATGGTATGTTATCGAACGTGAAGCATCTCTTGGAAAAACAAGGTGGGTTCTAGGTGCGACGTGGTGCCGTCAGTTTCAAACCAGGAAGGATTAGTTATGGGTTCTGAAAAGACCATCAATATCCCATTGTATATATATATATATATGATATTGGTGAGGTTTCAAGAAATTTTTTGTTAAGTATAGTCGATGAGATCAGCAGAAACAAGATTTTTCCTTGAGATGGGGGATTGCCTTCCTTAAATCTGTACGCTTTGGATGCTGGATACAATTTAATTTACGTAATGTGGTTTCTAGGATTAGAAGACACCCCAAAGTGTATACTTCGGAGATCAAAATCGTGACTAACTTTAAAAGATTAGGGAGATTACCATTTTCTTTGTTTATAACTTATCACTATATATACTAGCAGTGGACATTACATATGTTATTTTTTATGATTAAAAAAAGAGTTAATTATAAATAACTCTCTTTAGTTTAGTAAAACGAATTAATACTCTCTCACGTATGAGAAATAATTTAATAGTTCTTGTTTTGTATTTTATTATTTAATTAGTCCTCTCATCAATTCTTCATTAATTAGTTAGTACTCGAGTATGATAAACATTTTAATAATTCTTGTAGTTTCTTATTTCGTTGATTAATTAGTCCCTCGAGAATTTGAGAAACAATTCATAGCGGTAGCTACCACAAGGTAGAGAAATCAAGAAAAAAACATCTCTTTATTTATAGTTTTTTTTTTTGTTCTTTGGAAAAAGAAAGGAAAAAAAAAGGGAGCATACATGATTATACTACGATTGGAACTAAATCCATATTGGAAAAAATTAAATCCTTGGTAAAAGTGCCTAAACTAGAGAGACTAATTTATAATCAAATGAAAAAGAAAAAAAATGATGGGAGGAATACCTTAATAATACTTAACAACGGATTGTTTGATTGAAAATAGTAATTAACATTTATGAAATGTAATTTACATTTAAAAAAAAAATGTAAAGGAGGTTAAGCTAACTCATACTCTTAGATATTTTTGAAAAATTAGAGAGGATTTCCATATTATCATTAACAAGTATTGGGGGACCCAAGGAGTATAGGTCTCATGATTAAGGGGATGCCCTATTACAAAATGAATCAAATAAAAGAATATAGTAGAAAGACAAGTATAATGACACAATACAATAATTTCATATGCTTCGATAATAGTGTCTACTTTATGACTCGCATTAAGAGTTTTTATTAAAGTTTTTCAAGTGACGACTACAAATATAAGTGATTGCCTTTATTTATAATGTGGACAACTAAAGTTATAAGAAAAAGGCATAATAGGCCTATACACCCGACTCAATATTCTATAGACCTTTCAGGAGCTCCGCGCTTGAGCTCTCGTAAGGAACGAGGCCGTTGTGTTAACTCGTATAACGTCTTATACTATGGACTCCATCCACATCAGTCTCAATAATTTAACAATCTCTCACTTGGAGAATAATCTCTAAATAGCACCAAACCTCTTATAAGTGTCTCGTTTTCTCAAGCAACTTCAAGTCCTCTTAGTGCAATGCCTTCTCATCACTAATCATAAAGGCCAACCGAGGCAATGCAAAGTCTCAACTTATTGATGGTAACTACTTTGATCAATATATTGGTTAGATTCTCCAATCCTAGAATCTTGTTCAAACATATTATCCTATCATTCAACAACTCATGGATATAGTAACACTTCAATTGAATATGTTTGGTTCTTGTATGAAAGATTGGATTCTTGATAAGATGAACCGCACTCGACCGTCACTAAAAAACTCACTCGTCATCCTATTCCTTACCCACTTTCTTCATAAAATTCTTCAATAAATCACTTTTACTAGTTTTTGAAATAGCTATATACTCGACTTTAATGGTGGAAAGAGTGACACACTTCGAAGTTGAGATGCCCAACTCATAACGAGTACTACTTAAAGTGAAAACATAATTCATTATACTTTTTTTATTGTCTAGATCACCACCTAAATTTCCATCAACAAATCCTTGTAAGACAATATTATTCTTTTTAAAACGAAAGGCTATACCCGAAGTACCTTTCGTATAACGAAGAATTCACTTTACTTCTTCCCAATGCTTTTTTTCGGATTTACCATGTACCTATTGACAAATCCCATTACATGAGCTTTATTAGGTTTTGTGCAAACTATAGCATACATTAGGCTTTTAACTACCCGTGCATAAGGGACTCGTAAATATTTTTTTTGCTCTTCAACTATTTTTGGTGATTGCTCATTTGAAAGCCCGAGGTAATTTCCCAAAGTAGTGTTTCTAATCTTCTTATCTTGATGGTTAAATCTGCTTAGTGATTTTTGAATGTACTTTTCTTGAGATAAAGTCAATATACCTTCCGACCTATCTTTATTGATTCTCACCCTAAGTATTTATTTTGTAAGTCCCAAGTCCTTAATCTTAAACTATTCTACTAACTTTGCTTGAGTTTATTGATCTCTTTCAAGTTAGATCCTACAATAAGCATATCATCTATATACAAGAGCAAAATAAGATAACACTCATCAAATCTCTTGATATAACACAAGTGATCTATCTTGAAACTATTGTCACATATGAACCCATCAAACTTCTTATAAATAAGTTTTCCTGCAACTTGCATATAAGTTTTCCTTGTTTGGAACTACAAAGCTTTCGATTGTACCATATATATGTCTTCGTCAAGGTCAACATATAGGACAATAGTTTTAACATCTAATTGCTCTAGATGCAAATTTTATGCCGTAACAATACTCAACACTAGTCTAGTAGTAGTCATCTTGACTATATGAAAGAAAATCTCAGTGTAGTCAATTTTTTTTCTTTTTGTTGAAAGCTCTTTACAACTAGCTTTGCCTTATGTTTTTTTTACTATCATCATGCTTTTCCTTGACTAGTACAACCGCTTGTTGTGTATAGCCTTTTTTCCTTCTAATAACATGGTTAAAATCCATGTTCGATTTTTTTCAAAAGACCTCATCTCCTTTTTCATGGATAACTCCCACTTGATAGATTTTTTCACTCGTATTGCTTCACTAAAGAATTTTTGTTCTCTAGTATCAATAAGAAGCAAATAGTTCAAGGAAGATGGATATTTTTGAATGGGTCCGGACACTCTGTCGGATCTCCTTAAATGAGTAAGAGTTGCTCGGTTCTTATATAGCTTTAGCTTCACCATCTTTGTCATCCGAATTCCGAATCCTACATATATCATCATCCAAAATCTCCTTTGATTTAGCTTTCTCGCCTATTTCGATCGGTTCCTTACACTCGTTAGAATCTGTCTAAAGCTCGTCCATATACAATATATTTTTATTAAAGGTCACATCCCTATCTCTTATGATCTTCCTATTCTAGTCATCCTAAAATTGACAACCAAAATCATTAGGGCCATAACCAATGAAGTAACACTTTTTAGCCTTAGGACCTTAGGATCAAGCTTATCTATATCATTTGATCCTACATGTACATATAAAACACAACCAAAGGTTTTCAAGCGGGAAAAATTTATCTCATTTTTTTATCATAATTCCTTAGGTAATTTGAAGTCTAATGGAACTAAAGGTCCTCTATTTATGAGGTAAGTTGTTGTATTCACTACATCAACCCGGGATACTTTGGGCAAACCGAATGCAATCTCACGTGTTTTGCTCGTTCATTCAAAATTCTATTCATCCTTTTAACAACACTATTTTACTCTAGTGTCATAGAAATTATCTTGATCATTTTAATCCCATCATCCGAACAATAATCTTTGAATTCTATGCTAACATACTCTTCTTCATTATTTGAATTTAAGGTTATGATCTTTAGACCAATATGATTTTCAACTTTCATCTTTCATCTTTTGAATACAACAAACACATCATATTTATTTTTCAAAAAATAAACCCATACCTTTTTGGTGGAGTCATAAATGAAAGCGATATAATAGCATGAACCTCTAAGAGAAATCATAAGGGCTAGTCCCCATACATCTATATGCATAACTTTGAACTTTTTTTTTTAGTTTTTAAAGGATATGTCGGACTTTGAAAAAATGACTCTCTTTTGCTTTCCAAAGATACGAGCGTCACATAAGCCAACATCAATATATTTCAATTATGGTAATTTTTTCTTTGATAGTAACTCGCTTCAAACTCTTTTCACTTATGTGCCCAAGCCTTTGGTGTCACCGTATTGAATCT